TAAAGGTGCCTTCAGTCTAAGAGAGAAGAATATAATATTAAATGTACACGATGCACTTGTACATCAACGCCCTTTAAGTAATGTTCGTGAAATCGTTAACATGTGTTCAAATATGACAGGGGTTGGAGAAGCAACAATTTATAGATTCCTAAAAGAAAGAAAAGGAGGAACTGTTACATCTCCCAATAAGAGTGGAAGGAGTAAACCCTTGGAAATTGAAGAAATACATAAAAACATGATAAGACGCAGCGTCCACTCATTTTTTTTTTTTAACAAAGAATTTCCAACATTCGACAAAATCGAAATATTAATTAGAGAAAACGAAGAGTTACCTATCACAAGCAACAACAAATTATGGGGACTATTGAGATAGATGGGATGCCGTTGGCAAAAAAATAGAAGAAAATCCGTCTTAATTGAAAAAGATAACATTGTATGTTGGAGAAGAGATTATCTAAGAACTATTAAAAAGTACCGAGAAGAAGGAAAAACAATTTTTTATTTGGACGAGACTTGGCTAAATGAAGGTCATACTGTACGATATATATATATGGGTTGATACAAATATGAAAAGTTCCCGTCAGGCATTCATCGAAGGTGTATCTACTGGAAAAAACAATATTCCCGTTGGAAACGAACGCAGACTCATAATAACCCATATTGGAAACGAATACGGTTTTGTCAATGGTGGATTATTAAGTTTTGCCTCAAAATCAGCCAAAGATTACCACGAGGAAATGACTGCTGACGTTTTTGAAGAATATTTTGAGCAAATGTTGGATTTAATTCCAAAAAATTCTGTCATAATCATGGATAATGCTAGTTACCATTCAAGACTAGCAGAAAAATTGCCAACAACGGCATGGAAAAAAGAAGAGATAATCGAATGGTTGGATAAACACGCAATAGAGTACAAGGAGAATTCGACAAAAAAGGAATTATTACCTATTGTAAGGCAACATAAAGCAGCTTATAAAAAATATATAATTTATGAAATGGCATTAAACCGTGATGTCATTATTTTACGTTTACCCCCATATCACTTTGGACTGAATCCGATAGAAAATATATGGTCTCAAGTAAAGGGTGAAGTCGGACGCAACAACAAAACTTTTAAATTAGAAGACCTTATTAGAACATTCCTTATCACAAGTAACTCCAGAAAATTGGAAAAATGCTGTTAGTCATGCTCACAGGGAAGAAAATAAAATGTGGAGTTTGGATAATATGACTGATGCAATGCTGGAACCGGTAATAATTAACATTGAAGATTCCTTAGATTCTGAAGAAAGCAGTGAATCTGAAATGGAATTTGATTAAAATAATATTCATTTTTTTACAAATCGACCCTTGTTACGGCACAAATTATTTTATATATATCCAATAAAATAAACATCTTACATTTCTTGCAAATTCATTAGTACCTGTTAATCTCCATCACTCCGACACTGGCAACTTTATTTGGGGATTAGTAACCTTCAAAACTATTGTATTCTATTCTACTTCAACCTTTATATCTGGTGGTCATACTCAATTTAAAATTGTTTTCCTATATACTTCTGCAAACTATATAACAAAATATCTATTTTTCATGAGTCACCCGTATCAACAGTTTAGGGATTTGCATACATAATGTGCTATCAATATGATGGAAATGGACTATAGTAACTTGCGTTGTGCACTTACTACAATTCAGCCACGAATAGACCTACTAGTAAATAAAATGCAAGCACATCCATCTCACTAACCAACCTAATATATTTTTTATGAATAATTTTTGTATCTTATGGAAGTATAAATAAATGTTTTGTTTTGTATGTAATACTTATTTGATTTTGTTTTGTTCCTAGACCCATACCCATAGTGTTAAGGGGTGGGGGTGCGAGAAACTTTGATTTCAACAAAAGAGGGCGTGGAACAAAAAAGTTTGGGATTCCCCTGATATAGAGGGTTAAAACAACATGTACTTACAGTACCCAAGAGAAAGGCCTATGTTCAGCAATATACAGGCTGTGCGGTCACGTATGATGACGGTAAAAACGGTTGGTGTAATACAAAGATCAAAACTGATAAATATTTTATAAAAAATATTAGTTTTTGAAGATGTATCCATAAACATAGTGATTTTATTAATAGCGTTTTGATATACTACTGTAAAACCCTCCTAATAGTGTTGAATTATAAAAAATTACAATAGTATTAATTTATATAAAGTGTACATGTATATATTACTTCCATTAGACAAAAGTATCACAGTCTATTCTTTCATTCTCACTACTTTCGTATGCCTTCTACATTTTTCATTAAAACGAATGGGCTTTGTATTGGAATTATTTTTATGTAGGTAACGTATACCTAAAGATTATAAAAATATAAAACCATGTCGTATTTTCGAGGAATTGTAAATATTTTAATATAATTGGAACGTTGACTGGGATTTATCCAAGTGAAAAAAAAATAAAATATTAAAATCTCTGAATTCATGGCTTTTCGAAGCATATGGTTACCGTTAAATTTGAAACTCTTGGGAATTGGTTTAGCATAAAATTAAAGAAGATTTTATACCAGATTTTAGGAAGTCAATGAATTAGTCAGCTTCAAGTAATTAAAAATATATAAGGATTTGCAAAAACCGAAATACACATATCAAAAATGTTTAAGGAACATCACTATTACTTCACCACATGTTTCAATAAACAACAACACACTTTGTTGTTAATAAAACCATTTAATTTGAAAACTTATGCCCTGAAAATAATCAATTGCACTGTGCGCAAAATTGAAAGCTCCTCAAATTCGTACCATTATTTGCTTCAAATCGTAAGGAAAAAGTGCTTTAAATTTTTAAGATAGTGTCTATTATGTACTTCGAAACGCAACCATAGTCATGGAGCGTCGACATTTAACACATGTCCAAGTGTTGTGAATGAAATGAATTAGGCTGGTCTGTCACAAGCCCCTCATTTTGACGTGTTTCCAAGAATGATTTCACGATTGTGCCTTCGATATGAACGATTTAGTAATGACGCTGAAAGACACGGAGGTCGTCAACGTGTAACTACTTCGACAGGGTTTCCAATGTTCCCATGTTACGTACTGGAATTTTTGGATTCAGATTAAAGTAGGCACCTGGCACAACAACATGTGCATTGGGGCTGACAAGAATATAGTTTTTGTGTTATTCACAGATGAAGCTAGATTGGGTCTCTACCCTGTGATATAAGTAAAGTGAGAGTTTGGAGATGGCCTAATCGACAAGAGAGACTTAGGCATAAACAGGTGTTCGTCCATGTAGTGGTCTACAATTTATGATGTGGGCTAGAATAATTGTTCATCATCAAAATGTTTTTCTGGAGGGCACTTTAAGTATAATTATAGTATCTTTAAAACTATTTTCCTTTTATGTGCCACTCTTGCAGATCCTGATTTGCGTTAGATGCAGGATAATGCAAGAGCACATACTGCAGCAACAATGAGAGATTGGCATGATAATGGGGATATTACACTTTTAACGAGGCCAGCACAATCGCCAGAGGTCTTTAAGATCTTGGCACGATAAATGCCTCCAAGAAGACGGTTTTGGGTGTAATTTGTAGATGTTAGGTATTTTTGAAAAACGTACTAGTGTAATTTAAAAGATCTAATCAGAGTTTTTTAAGCATCTTTCAAATGCCTTCCATTTGTTGCCAAAACTCAAAACTAAAATTTCATGCTATAGGTTTTAAAAATTAGGCTCCAGTAATGAAAACTTCTGAATGACCGCTCAATGAAAGTGGTAAATTGTATTGATATCATGAAAATCATAAAAATGGAAAAAATCTCGCCACGTTTATTTATTTAGCACTTTTATAAAAACTGAATTTATTTGCGACAAAATACAAAAATTGCGCACAAAAGCTACACTTTTTACCTTTAAAATGCATTTTGGTGTTTGTCTATAGGATGTTCTTATCAAAAGATATCAAATTTTTACCATCGAGCTGATACAAATTTTATTGAAAATTGATTTCGCACGCGTAACTGACATTCAAAATCGCCGATCACTTCAAACGTTGTTTCTGAGAGAACAGTTTATTCTATAAAAAAAGTACTCATAAACATTTTTGTTCAAAATGATCTCAGCTACATTTTTCATTTGTAAATATTTTTTTCTACGGTGTACAGATTTGCTACGAGGGTGGTTTTAGGGAGAAGTTCGTGAGTAAAAGTGGTAAACTTTTTTGCGTCTTTGTTAAAGTCCCAAATTTAATCTTTTCGGAGAAATTCAGCTTGTTCGTATGATTTTTAGAGGTTCAGTGACATTTTCGTCCCAAAAAAATAGTATATTGGAGTATACTATTTAATTATACGATTTAATTATGAAAATACAGATTCAAAAGCCACATTAACCAGATCAAGCATAAAACGTGTATCGCATTACATATACTAGTAATACACCACAAATTTGTACATAAACAGATAGTGGCACATTTTTAAGAACAGTTGGTCACTCCTGCCTTAGATCAATGACGATGATTAACATACACAAATATGTTGCAATTATTATTCAAACTCAGACGGTAGCATTTTTCTATATAAATGGTATTCAAAAACTATTTTATATCAATTTGGTAGCGACGGACACTCAACCCTTTTATTAAAAACAAGACTGCAATGTATGCAAAAAATTACAGAAACATAAGGAGGCTAGTATCTAAAGGTAAACTCAAACATATACAACAGTATTTAAAATTTTCCAAAACCCTCCTATTTGGATTGAAAGAGGAAACATAACTATAGTGACTTTGAGACTAGTCAGGCCACAGTGGACCAAAAGCCTCTTTTGAGATAAGAAAAAAAAAACTGTTAAGGAACTTATCCGCAAAAAATAGCTATTTTGAGCTATAGCTCAAATTATAGCTATGGCTATCAGATTAAAGCCATAGTAGCAGCAAATGATGGATCATAAAAGTCTTTTATACTCACATTAAAAGCTTATATGTTGGTAGAATCTGAGCTAGATGATAGGCTCTGTTTCAATTGACTATTTGGGTAGAGTAGTAGGTGTGAGCTTAGTTATAGTTTCCAATTCTGCTTGTGAAGGAGCTATAGTTCTATATGAAAACCTGAAAGAGTTCAATACTGTTGTATATGCTAGGCGTACAGAAACAGGACCCATCCCTGACACTGCAAGCTATGTCCAGAAATTGGAAAAAGAGAAAGAAGCCAAGGAAAAAGGTGAAACCAAAGACAATACATCATTTTTAGCAAAATATTGGATGTGCATAGTACATTTTTGTTGATATTTGTGGCAATATGTTCAGCATTCAATCCAGAAGCCCAAAAGGGTCAGTGATATGTAAAATAGTTATTATTTATTTGAAAGTAAATTCAAACGAAGCAAATCCAAGAAACTCTTAAACAAGCCGATAAAAGACTGGACAAGAATCACATTTAAATTGTTTGCAAGCACACGCTATTAAAATTTTGCTATACGTAGATGAGTTTTTAAATATCCTCTGCTATTTAAAAACTAATATCTATAAATTTTGTTTTCATTATTGTTTAAATCTATTATGAAATTACTTTGCGATATTGAAATTTTTGTTAATCTGCGTAACCAACCGTGGTAGGTTGCTAATTTATAGCTTATCAGGTGGGAAGATTAAAATGTATTGTTTTGAATAATTCATGTCTGACCCTGTTTTCGATTTTTGTAAGTATTGTCACAAAAAAGAAATTTTTCAATAATACAATTATTTTATTTTTACGGTTTTAGGTGAAAACGGTGAGCCTAGCAGTTTACTTTTCAAATCCAGCATTCCAAAAGCCATATACACTATAGGTACATCATAACACATATGACCTTATTGCTAAATAGTTTTTACATTTATTTTTTTATGGTTAAAACAGAGGTACGTTTTCAGTTGCTATTTGATCAGATCATAAATATATCTAGGTGGTCCCAGAAGTGCCCGGCCTGACCTAGACCCAAAGAATGATAAGAAAATGATAAGGCAAAATAAAAGAAGATAGGTAGACGAAAAAATGCAGGAAAGAGAGCAGGAAAGAACAAACAGAAATACGAAAAATTTTTACAAAAAGATTAAAGAACAAAACAAAAAATACAAACAAACAGAATCAAAAATAAAGAGGAAAACAAACGGAATTAAAAATAAAGAGGGAACAGTGATGATAGAGGATCAAGGATACAAGCAAATATGGAGGGATTACTACAGAGAGCTCTTGACGGAAGAAACAACAGGATATGAAATGAATAACGAGCAGGAAGCGGTGTCCGAAGAAAAAGCAGACAAAATAGATGAAGTATACATCGAAATATCAAAAGAAGCAACATTAGAGGAGCCCGATATAATATTCTTCAACTTATTATGATGGGTAAAATCGAAGGACGCAGACGAATTGGCAGAAAGCAGGCCTCTTGGTTGAAGAATATCAGGGAGTGGACAGGAATAAAGAAAGCTGACCAACTATTTAGAATAGCTGGAGACAGAGACAGTTACGCCATGTTAATCGCCAACGTCAAGGGGACTTGATAGGGCACGTTAAGAAGAAGAAGAGGAGCCCCTGGTAAAGATGGAATTAATATGGAAATAATAAAATACGGAGGAAGGGAGCTGAAAGGAAAAATACTGGCACTATTTAAAGTAACCTCTTTAGTCACACAGGATACAAAGAGATGAGTGGCACTCATCCTTCTTGACGTCAAGAATGCCTTTAACATGGCATCAGGGGAGAAAATAATGTACAGGCTCAGAGAATTAGGCGATAGTGAGTATCTGGTCAACGTAATTGACAGATACTTTACTCACACGTCTTTAAGAGAAAAAGATATCAGCATCAGTTTGTGGTACGGTGATCCGCAGGGTTCAGTATTAGGTCCCATGCTGTAGAATGTCCTGTCGGACGGGATGTTTAAGGCTATAGATGCCAATCAGACAACGGAAATGGCTAATGTGGCTAACACAGCCCTGCGTTGTATTAGTAGGTTGATCAGAGAGAACGATCTACAGCTAGAACCTCAGAAAACTGATGTATTAGTTCTCAAAGGGAGCCGGGACAAATCTTCTCATCGTTTTATAGTGGAAGGTGTGGAGGTTGCACCGGTTAAATTGGTTAAGTATCTCAGAGTCTGGTTGTTGGAATGACAGGTTCGGAGTACACATCCAGAAGACGGTAGAGACGTTAGAGAAGGCGAAACGAAATCTGGAGGCGTTGATACCACTGATGCCAAACATTGGAGGCCCAGGAAGCACCAATAGAGCTAAATGAAGTTTTCCAGTCGGTGGTAACCTACGCTGCCCCGTGTGGTGTAGCGAATTGAACACTGCGAAATGCGCCACGCTGATGGAGACTTCGCAAAGTCAAATGCTCCTCAGGGTATCTAGCGCATAAAGGACGGTTTCAAATGAGGCTCTGTATGTCATTGGAGCGGTGATACAGATTGTTTTGTTGTGCAAAAAGCGAGCGAGAGTCTATGCGAGGAGGATGGATGGAAATATACATGAGAATGAGAGAGAGAACGATAGTGGAGTGGGAGAGAGAATGGGCAAATGATAGCGGAAAGGCAAGGTGGACGAAGGAGCTTATTCCTGATCTGAGGTCGTGGTTGGTACTTCCCGAAGCAGTTTCTGACCAGACATGGTAGTTTTGTCAACTTCACAAATCGAATAGGCAAATCTGCCTCGGCAGACTGTACTGTTTGTGAGATACCGGACGCTCCCGCCCACATTTTTAACTGCCAGGGATGGACAAATAAGAGGAGAGACTTCGAGAGGCGAATGGGGTTTTACTTAACAGGCAAAACTTTTTCTATCACCATTTTTTATTATCTTGTTTTCTCGGAAAATACAAAGTTTTTTGACTAAACGCACTAAAAAAAAGTAACTTGCTTATTTACAGGGGTTCCGACACCTTTGGCATGTGTATTAATTGACTCTAGATTTGGAATAGGCGGTCATCATTCGGCAACAGACTGAACGCAACTATTACAAATATAAATAATTCTTTATTTATATAGCCATATCGGTTACAGTCGCATTGACTGATAATTTAAAGATCTATGAACTTTGTAAAAGTGTGAATTAAAAATTTTACATATCTACCTACTGCAAATTTTAGACAGTTACAAATAGATTATAGTTGTTTTATAAAACTCTTAAATGATATTATGTTAAACATTTTATCTGAATTTTTACCCTTATTTTATCTTTAATTGTTACAAAAAATGTAAATATATTTTCGAGCCGATATTAAAAGTTCAAAACCTATTACAAGATTCAGAATTCATGAGAAATACATCGCTAAGTAAAAAATTCCTTTGGGTTTCAAAGCTCGAGAATTTCTGATTCGGAGACTTCAGAAGCGAAAGTATCAAACAAACTTTTTGTTTTCATTATAACTTGGTTGCTCTATCGGCTTTGCGTTTAAGTACATAAAAGGTTGTTTTCCTCATTATACAGCGACCCCCAGTGCCTACGCTTCACAAACATTTCAAAAACTAATGGAAGAAGAATTTGGCGAGTTCATATTTGCCAGTTTTTGCACAAGACAGTTATTAAAGAAACGAAATATAGGGTGTCCAAAAAAGTTTGCTAAATTCTTCTTTCTTAAATCCTTTATTGGATAATTTAGACACTCTAAGAAAATTGAAGGAAAAATAATGTTATATACTTTTTTATTGTAAAAAAATATATTAGTACGCAAAAATGTTTAAATGAGTGCAAAATTAAAAGCCTAGAGAATTGGTATAATAATTTTACTTTAATACCCTTGTGAAACATTAATTATTATAAATAGAACGAAAACGTAAGGGTTCTTTGTCATGTTAAAATATTTATTCGGCAGAGTGGCACGATTTCCCAAAAACTGTTAATTTTTTTAACAAAATTCTTTAATTAAATAAAAAATCAAGCAATAAAACCTTTGTTTTCAACACTTCCGCAGATTTTATCATAATTTGCTATCACTACAGCTGTTTCGCCAGAGTGTTTCTGAGGTGAGCTATTTTTGTTGTGCGTCTACTAACTTCAATGTTAATTTTGTGGGATTGGGTTAGGTAACGCTTTATTTCGAAAGGAATTAACTTAAAGTACCTATTTAGGATCCTCGTCAGGCTGGAGTTGAATGTGTTGTGTTGGAACGAAAGCAAAACAGACCGAAAAACCAGCTGGGGTAGTGGTGTTCTTCTGGTGGAGCATATTGGAGGCTGTCGAGATGAACTCACTATTCGAATCAGAGGCGGAAGGCTTGTCTGGATCCGGTATTCTTTCCAGAAAGATTGTGTATGTTTTTTGAGCTAAATGCAACAGAGTCGAGTCTCTAGTTGCTATTGTTTCTGTAGTCGTTTTTGCGTCTACAGCCGACTTCAAAACCAGTGTATTGCACTGTAGTTTTGTTATTGGGTATGTTCGCCAACGGCCAGACCTTGTCAGCTTTCGAGAGGCGACTTGTCGCAATTGCCCAGTGTGAATGTGTGTGTGTTGTTAACCCGACAGTGATGGACGCTAATGATGAAAGGCCAGGAACTGTCGTAGACAGTTCCAGCATTTGCCGGCTCAGGTGAAAAAATAGTTGCGTCTATTTTCCTCAGGTAAGATTGGGAAACCGTAAAAAACCAATCTCCCCCTGTCAGGGGTATAGAAGAAGGATTGGGTTAGATATAGGTTTTGTAAACTAGAGGAGTAGCTTCAAGGATGTCAGGGTAATCTCATAGAAGTTCTGCAATGCATGCCTGCATTAGGACAGACGATGTGAAGTTTTTCGGTTCTGGCCCTCCAGGATTTTACGTGACAACGATAGAAGCAGGAACTTTTAGGGTTTTTTGGGTGTTGGATGGGGGGTCGTTTATTGTTCTGAGAGTAAAGTTCCTGTTGAGAGTTTTGATTATCTCGATGATTGGGATAACATTTACGGTGTTATGGATTTCACAGGATGAGAAGTACCAATGTTTTCTGCAAACACTACGCAGAATGCTGCGCTTCGCAGAGAGCAGCTTTTTTTATACTCTTTAAGAAGGCAATATAAGTTGGACTTATACTCTAAAACGGATCGAATGATTTTTTATAAGTTTGAATGAGAGTCTTGGTATGTGGTTTGTAAATTGTCCATGTAAGTGGTATGAGAAGGCAGGCTCGGTTTCTGATCCCATCTAAAGTTGCCTTTAAATCAGGTTCCCAGTTGGGTGTCCTAGTGAATAGAACATCCAAATAGTAAGCTGTTGGGCTAATAGCGAACCCTTGTCCCATCAAATACAGAGGGAATTGGTTATCGCGATTGCGAT